GAAGAAGTTGACTTCAACCCCAGTGGGTGACTCTGAGGGGTTCCAGACATCCATGGAGGAAGTCACTGAGAATGTGCTGGAAACAGCAAGAGAAGCAGCATTAGAAGTGGAGCCTGAAGGTGTTGCGGCATGGCTGCAAGTTCATGATCAAACTTGAATGGATGAGGAGTTGGTTCTAATGGACGAGCAAAGAGTGGTTTCTTGAGAAGGAATCTACACAGGGTGAAAATGCTGTGGACATCATGGCAATGACAGCAAAGGATTTAGAATATTACATAAACTTAGCTGATCAAGCAGCAACAGGGTTGGAGAAGACTGACTACAGTTTTGAAAGAAGTCCTGTTAGTAAAATGCTATCAAACAATATCACACGCTACAGAGAAATCATTTGTGAAAGGAAGCGTCAGAGCAGCAAACATCGCTGTCATCTTACTTGAAGAAACTGCTGCAGCCGCCCCGTCTTCAGCAACCACCACCCCGGTCAGCCAGCAGCCAGACACATGGAGGCAAGACCCTACCCCGGCAAGAGCTCAGATGCTGGTTGGCAGTTTTTAATAATAAAGTATATTTTAATTAAGGCACCTACATTGTTTTTAAAGACATAAAGCTATTGCACACTTAAGAGACCACTGTGTAATATAAACATAGCTTTTATATCCACTGGGAAACAAGACAATTCACGTGACTCGCTTTGTTGTGATACTCACTTTGTCGGCGCGATCTGGAACCAAACCTAAATATCTCTGAGGTATGCCTGTACTTCCTTTCTCGGTGACAAAGTAGAGGCAGTGCTTTCTGATAGATGCCAGTGGTTCCTAGAAAATGTTAGGATTGGCTTCCCAAATACAGTTCTACTACTATCACAACTAGAATCATTTCTTGACAACCATTTATTCTCATTTAACATTAGCTCCAGGTCCTAACCAGTTGTCATCCTTGTCTTTTCCAGCTCAGGGCTAGAGGGGGCATAGCTCAGTGGTAGAGCATTTGACTGCATCTCAGGGCTGGAGTTCTGGATGGCTGAACAAGCTCACCAAGGGCAAAGTTGTGGAGCAGGAGTCTGGAATTTGCCAGCCCTTGTGTGATGTGGTCACACCGCATGGGGTTTGTTGCCCACCCTCCTGGCCTTCTTTGACTTTCTCCTCCCTTGATAAGTGTTTCACTTCCTGCTTTTGTCCCTTTCATCTCATTTCCTAGGGGACTGCCCTTTATCCTTCAAAATCGCTTCTCAGGTTTCTCCCCTCTCCCCAGAGTCTCCCTGGGGACCTCATTCACCCCCTGACTTTGACCATCACTTCTACATACCTGATACTGGATCAGTAGAAACAGTCATGTCCTAAACATCAAGCTGCTGCTTCCAACTGCCTTCTGGAATCTGTTTCACACATTCTTTAAACTGAACCTGTCCAAACGCTCTCTCTCTGTCCTCACCCCAGTTCTGCTTCCCTCCTTCTCACCCAGTTATTGTCACCATCCACCATGTAAACCTTGGGAGTGGAAAAGAATGTAACAGACCCAAGACTACTAACGTTAGAAAGTTTTGCTTACGAGAATGACCATGGGCTGGCATCTGGGGACTTGACAAGTAAACGGTTCCCTACACTGACCTAAAAGCCTTCCCTTAATGACAGTGGCTCACAGTGCCTAACCTGTTTGTACCCAACAATGTGTTTTATGCTGAATGCCTGTTTTCCTTCCGAAAGTCTGGGATTTTGGTAAATGCTAGGCAGAGGATACCTATGTGACCAGCTCCCAGCTGAAAGCCTGGGAGAGTCTTCAATGAGCTTCCTCAGTAGACAGCACTTGTCAATGTTGCCATGTCTCATTGTGAGAGGAATTGAGCTCCCCCTGCAAGAATCCACTGGAAGATGACTCTTGTGAGATTTCACCTGGTTCCATCTTCTATTTCTCTTTCCCTTTGCTGATTTTCTTATATATCCTTTTTCTGTAAGCCTAGCCATGAATATGACCCCATGATGAGCCCTGGGAGTCTTTCTAGCAAATCACCCAACCTAGGGAAGGTCCTAGGGTCCCCTGCCACATCTTAATATAATCCTAACCCTCTTTTCCTTGATCTCTATGTTCAATTAATCACCAATTGTCATTAGCTCTCCCTCTAAATTTTAATTTTTTTTAAATTAAAAAAATTGTTTTTAAAGTGTTAAAGTAATCTCTACACCCAAAGTAGGGCTCAGATTCAACCCCGAGGTCAAAAGTCACATGCTCTATGGCCTGAGCCAGCTAGGCGTCCCTCTACCTCAAAATATTAAAAAATATATATATATATTACATATATAATATATATATATCTCCTGTGTTCACCACCCTCATTGCCTTGAGGTGACAACTGTGACTGCATCTGGGCATTACTCTCCTCGCTTTCCTCCGCTACAGAAATCAAATCCCCAAGACTGGAGAATAGCACCAAGCCAACGTTATGAGAAAGTTCTCTCTCAAGGCCAGTTTCCTCAGCTGCAAGATGTGGATAAGGATAATGGCTGTTCCGGAGTGTGGCTGTCAGGGGTTAATGAGAAAATGCATACGAACTCTTAAGAGATTCTCTGTGTAAAGTGCTTAGCCTGTAACAATCCTTCTGTTTCTATCACTGTTATTCATGATCCGCAGACCACACCCGGTCACTACCCCTGAGTGAGGCTCAGTCAGTTCTAGCCCTGAAACCAATTGGGACCTCAGTTTTCTTACCCCTCTAATCTGCCCACCCCAAAATGCATTTCTGTGGAATCCCAAGGAGACTGCCATTGGGGCGGGGGGTGCTCTTGTCCTCTCACTAGGTCTCCCACGTGGGAGAATGATGAGACAAAGCTTTCTTGTGGTTGCCAAGGATGGGGGCAGCAGGGAAGGGAGCCAGAATGGTCACATAGTTATCCAGATACCTGATGTTACCACGGCAAATATTTACGGTTGTACGAAACCATCGGTTACTGCAGACGACAAAGTCACTGCACGGGACTGAAGAGCCAGCAGCAGCACGGGCAATAAAGATAGAAATGAAGACACACACAGGTCAGTATATGAGGTGATGGGTGTGTTAACTAGATGGGGGGAATCCTTCCACAATGCCTACAGATATCGAATCATCACAGTGTACAAGTCAAAGTTTCTGTTTTCAGTATCTTTCATGACTCTCCCAAGACTTTTTGTCTGATCTTGTGGGATCATTATAAAAGTTCTCCACAGTTAAAACAATGAAATCATATAGCTTAAAGATCTACTCAGGCTTCCAAATATCAATGTATTTATTGACAAAGCTGAATTACTCACTTTGAAATTCCATGCTATTAAAAATCACATAGAAATAACTAACTTCTGATTAAAAACAAACAGGAACAATCAGCAAAGGTAAGTTGGGTAGTACATTAACTTTATTTTGAATTATAACATGGAATATGTCATCAACAAATGGATGTAACGAAAACTTTTATAGCTCAGTTAACAAATGATTTGCAAAGGAACTGCTAGTTCGGTCTTAGGATGCAGAGCTCTTTGAATTATGAATTAGATTAACATAAAATAAGAATCATAAAAATTAAGAACCATCCACCTGTGTGCCAAATAAATGCAATTTTACTTCAAATAACAGACTTCTTGTTCAGTCCCCGGTGAGCAGTTATTATAATCATCTTCCCTGCTATGGATAATGTCATAATCTCATCCAGACCAAATGTTATCCTTCTAAGCTAGAGACCTCTTACCTATAGTAGGAAAACCTCCATTAAGTATTGCTGAAGCTACTAGATTCATTTGTATGGCCCTAAAATTGATCAAGAACATTTCCCACTTAAAACAAAGGTCAAGGACAACACATCTTAGTGAAAACATTGAGTTTGTGATTTCAACCCATTTTGTCTTTTGGAACTTTGTTATCAGTGTCCATAATACTGTTTTGATTTATATCAGTGATGAGCAACCAGTTTTGGCCTCAGGGCTAACAAAGGGGGAAAAATAGAAAGCATTTAAGGCCACACTCTCTTCCCCTTCAAAATGAACATAGTTTTATGAAATTCCCAAGGGGGAAAGTGTATTTGTATTATTTTGCTAAGTAAAAGGAAGTCAGTGAGGAAATTGGCACTGCTTTTTAGCTACTAAAAGGTTTCTATCCAGGTATTTTAGCAATACAGACAGAACTTTCTAATTTTTTATTCCAAAATTAGATTGTGGACTCGTTGCATAGTTAGGCTTAGTCATGTCTGGGGGCTCTGTGGCTTGCCCATTACTGCCTTTGCTTGTGACATTAATTAAAGTAAGCTGATTTGTGTTGATTATTTTATTGATCATAACAAACTTTAAGGGAATATCCTCTAATTTCAAGAATTATATTTCATCATTGACTGACTTAAAGACAACGCTTTTAGGAGCACCACTGCAAGCTGGTTAAAAAAGAATTGGAGGACTGCATTTCCTTCCATCTTAACATGTCTTTACACAGAACACTGGCTGGAAACCAGAACAGAATGTGAAAAGAAAACTAAAGAAGTATTTAAATAATAGAAATATCACCAGCGTTTATTATGGCAGATTATAGAAAGATGGTCTAATTTGTGTGCGTGCAATTTTTAGGCACTGACTGAGGCATTTAGACACCATTGATTATAAAATACATTGAACATAAATTTTGACTCCCCTTCAAGGAATAATTCAGTAAAACTTGGGTTTCTTTTTTGAAATCAATCAGCTCAAGAACATGCATAGATGAACATTATTAAATACTAATGACAGTCTTTTATTGCTTATACTCCTGCAATAGAATAGCAACATATTGTACTAGCATATGACATTTCATCCAAGGACCTCAAAGTCATTGTGTCAAGCAACAGGATTGCACAGCTTATTAAGTCTACCTAGTTATGGCATGGGAAGCAGACTCCCAACAAGAGAACCAAAATAAAAGTTCAAAAAGACAAAGCCTAAATTTCCTGTAATTTTCTGAGTTTCCAAATTTGCCACGTACATCTTACCATACCTACAATATTGATTCTAGGTAAAAATGATTTTTTTTTTTTTTTTACGTGTTAGGAATGAGATGAGGATCACCTCGCAAATAAACAATCTGTCTTTTTTATAGTTCAATAGTCCATCTTGGAAAATCACATCATGGAATGTCAGAAGTGGCTCTTTAATATGAATTTAATAAATCATTGCTTCCAAATCAATATGGTTACAATCTTTGGGTAGAAGAAAACATTTTACACTGGAATAACATACATCTATGTGTAAAATATGAGGGAGCTATATCTTTTAGCACTCTTACAATTGAGCTATATCTTTTAGCACACTTACAATTAATGCGAAAGCAGAAGTGCTTTGATTCACTGAAGATCAGACTTTCAGTCTTTTAAAGGCTTTTGTCATCTTGTTTAAACCTCTTCCATGGTTTAACTCTAATAAGAGTTTAACCGAGAGACCCAACTTAGTATGGTTTAAAATGAGTTTCTGTGGACTCCACGAATCTGCCAGGTCCCACAGTGGTGGGGTTAAAGGCCAGCGTGAGAAGTTCATGTGAGGGTAAGGGGTCCCTGAGCCTTTCTGTTCTTGACTCGGGCCACAGAGCCCAGCTTCCCTTGGTCAGGGACCCAGGGTGGACAATACTGGGCATTTCCTTGCTTCAAGGAATTTCCAACACTATTTGAAAAGCAATTTCTTTTTGGACAATGTGATTAGGGTTTCTATCTTTCAGTTGAATATGGAACTATGTTAGCTCTTCCTATGTCCTTCTTTACTTCGGAGGAGACGCAGTATGTGCTCATTTTTGGTTAGTTCTGCTGGAAGTTCATTGGCCTGGAAGAAGATAAGATAGACATTAGTGAATTCCCACAGTTGGGATGGTTTTAGGGTCTCCAAAGCAGGGCCTCTGACTCCACTTACTCCTCTGCTGGCGAAAAACCCTACTGGACTCACTCTTATTTTAAGGCCTTAAAGGTCTCCTTTAATCATATAAATATCATCTGTTATTTTCTTATCTCATCATTAGAGTTATTTTTCTTTCTAAGCCATATCTCTAGTACATTGATCTCCTGAAGGCCAGCATCCATGTATGATTAATCATCGTATCCTCATTTCCAGCCCAATCCCTGGTGCATCTAGTACGTGCTCAATAAACACTGGTAATGTTAAATTTGATACTTTATATTTCATTAGTATGGGGCAGTGTGTCCACTAGGGACTTGAGACTAAGGACAGGTATCTGTTGAGAAAACAGAGTTAAGAAACATTTAGAGAATAAGAAATACCTGGTCAAGAACAGCTTCTGTGGCCACCACATCCCTCCTGACACTAGGGTTTCACTGAATGGCCTTTCTTCTCATCATGCTGTTGAGACACATTCCTTACACATTTATTTCATGAGTGAATCCTTATCCCATGAAATAAATGTAATGGGGCAGTGGTTCTCAAACTTTTTGGTCTCAGGACCTTTTTACACTCTTAAAAATTAATGAGGATCCCAATAAGCTTTTGCCTTTAACTTCTTAGAAATGAAAGGAAGAACATTACAAAAACCCTTAATTCATTAAAAATCATAAATGCACTACAGGGTACCATAAATAACATGAAAAACAACCACCTTTTCGAAAACAAAAAAGCTAGGGATAAGAGTAGCATTGTTTAATAGATCTGCTTATCTGTTGAATGCGTAGCTTAATTGGAGACTTTTGGATTTTCTTATCTGCTTCTGTATCCAAGCTATTGTGATACATTGTTTTGGTTAAAGCATATAAAGAAAATTCAGCTTGGCACAGATAGGTAGTTGGAAAAGGAAGGAAAGATTTTAACAGCCTTTTCAGATCATTGGAGATATTGTTCTTTGATGCTACACTCATACTAAACAAGAGATAGTTTCTTAAAGGAAACTGCAGTGTGGAATCTGAAACCATACCAATTTTTACATGAAAAAGCCATACATCTATCTATCTACAGCTGGTGTTTCCCCCTATGTATGATTTGTAACATCACACACCAGCCAATTGGAAAATATTAGTTCAATGAGTTATGCAGATCTAGATGTGGACACACAGGGTCATACAATCTCCAAAGATCACCTTCATTAATATTAGCACCAATTCATCAGAAAAGCCTGTGAGTTTAAGAAGCCGTCGGGCTCATGTGGTGGATACCAGTGGTTCTTCGAAGTAAAAAAGCGCTCTGTGAAAAGGCACCTGGCTCACTTTGCTATTCTAATGATGTCCCTGAGATAACCATGCACCTGAGTAGAGAGCAGGAAGGCCAGATGCATACTTCCCATTGCCTTACATAGAATATTAAAAAGATGTGTAACAAGGGTCCAGATTTAATAAAATTGAAATTGTTCACGGCTTCATCAAAGATGTTCTTAAGTAAAACTGGTATGTGTGTGAAATAATTTACAAAATCTGTAAAGTAACTCACAGGGTTGTGTAAAATAATTTGCCGGTACAGTTTATACCCCTGCTGGCAGGTGTCAGGGGCCACTAGTTTCAGGCACCGTTAGAACAAATGTTAGAAGCAATATTTGCTCTAGAAGTTAGAGCAAATGTTAGAAGCACCGTTAGAAGCAAATTTTCACTGTGCTTCTACACCATTAGAGCAAATGTCAGCACAGTGAAAAGGGCAGATGACATCTTTGTATTACCAAGTGTATTGTTTTGACTTCTTAGACCTCTTGAAAGGGTCTTACAGGCCCTCAGGGGTCCACAGACCATACTGAGAACTGGTGTTATAGGTGAATCACGGGATGTTCTCAGGATTTCAGGGGAGGCAGTTAAAGGGTAGAAAGGCACCCAGAATACAGGAGAGGGCTTGGATGCAGATGTTACTTGTCTTGCATATTTTTTCCTCCCAGAGCCACACCTGGAACCCCCCTATTTTATGTGGGACCGTGATCCTAGGTGAAACTCCTGAAGTCCCTTCCTTCTTTGTTGGGTCCTGCTCTTTGGCCCGCACGTGCTACCTGGGACTTCGCTTGTCGGGAGTTATGCACAGAGTCGCTGGGAATTATGTTTGCCACAAATGGTCTGCTGCACAGCATGTCCTGTGGCTGCCCCCCAGCCCACCACAAAGGACCCTTGATGCTGATGCTGTACTGAATTGGGCAGGAGATGACTATGCTGTGTTCCTGTAGACCAGAGGCCCCTCGGGCCTTGGAATTCTACTATTAGTTCCTGCAGGAAGAGACACTGTACAGGCCTAATGCCTGGCCCTGCACAGAAATGCTCCCAGTAGACAGATGTCAGCACCTTCCAGTCTCGGAGCACACTCAGGAATGACGGGGCTGTTCCACGTGGGTTCCTGAAGCTTGGTGAGCAGGCTGCCAGGCAGCCAGAGGATCCTCTACCATCAGGAGGAGGAGGAGAGCTAAGAAGCTGTACTTTATCATTAAGTTTCCTGAGTTATAGTTCCCATGTGTAACCTTTATCACTGAAAAAAACCCTTATATCCTCAAACCGTGTAGTCAACTTTTGACCAATCACATTGCTGTTCCATGTGTCATCCATATAGTTCTAGAAACCTGGTCTCATGCCTCCTCTCTCCAGGTTGGTCCTCACTGAATTCTCAGGTTGCTGAGGTTGTATGGACTATTACGATGGCAGTGCCCCAGGCTAACCCCCAAAGGCCATCTTATTCATTATGGGGCAGGACCACAGGCCCATGTTCATGATACCACAGCATCAAAACACTGTCCTTCCCAACCGCTCTTGGGACAAGCTGTGTTCTGATTCTTCAGTTGGGAGTATCGGGAACACAGGGCCTGCACCCATGGGGACAGCTACGGTGTGGGGAGTGGCTATCGGGCCCATTGGTTACCCTCTCCTGAGGCATCCATGTTGCAGTCCCAGAGAACTCCACCCCTGGAGCAGAAGATTGCTTCTGTATTAGCTTAGAAGTCATTTCCTCTGGGAAGCTTCTACTAGCATTTTTTACTTCCCTGCTGACAGCTCTTGTCACTGTACTGCAATTTCTTGTTTGTCTTTATTCCTCAGTAAACTCTGAGCTCTTTGAAGGCAGAGACAATGGGAACTCCATTCACTGTAGTCTCCCCAGTACACGGCACCGTGCGTAGTATCTAGTGGGTCCTCAGTATGTGTTGAATGAATGAAGGCAAAGAATACCCCCTTCAAGAGTCCCGGGTGGCTGCCAGAATCCCAATACCCTTGCTTCTAGAGCTATCTCTAAGAGGCTGTCTTCTTTGGGGTGGCTGGTGGATGGGTGGGATGCAGGTGGGACTCCCTGGCAACGACTCCCAGCTCTCTGAGAGCTGCTGGTGTATGAAACTCCAGCATGAGCAGTCTCCCTATATCTCTATATTTTCAAGAGTAGCTTTAGGGACAATCCGAAGTCCAGCATTTTGGTCACTGGAAATTCCCCATAACCATGATTGCCGAAGTCCCAGGAGACAAACAAAGAATTGCACATTGTTTCAGTTTCCATAAGCTACTGGATGGCTTAGCGAGAAAGATCAATCTCTTTAGGAAGTCTGTGTCCAGGGTCTAAAGATAAGTGTACAAGTCTGATTTCAGCTGCCTTATCACACAGCCAGTCAAGCTAATGGAAAACAAATTGGGAGTATCTCAGGAAGAGATAAGCAGAAGTGTTCATCTTCAAGCACTCTAATGGCAAGAACGAGGACATAATAATGCCACATGCTAAGTAAAATGAAAATAAAAGAGACTCTTGGCATGTTGTCTAATTGCACCTCTTAATGGTTCCTTTCCAAAATGTCATGAAAAAGGTTCTGTGTGTTTGCTTTTATTATTAAAGAAATTAACAGAGCACTAGATACTTATAAAAGCTCAAATAGTATAGAAGTATAAAGTGAAAACTGCTTTTCATACCTTCCTTGATGGATAAGCCCTGCTCCTACTTCCTCCTTTAAAAGTTCATAGTTCCATGTTCTCTCAAGACCTGCCCTATGCTGCTCTCCTCTCCCAGGTTCTACACTTGACTGCGCATGCAGATGTCGAATAGGAAAAAATGGGCATTAGGCATCTTCCCACCTCCATGTTTGACTTAATTGTAAACTAAGGATGTTGGGCCTATAAAAGGTATGGGTTGGTTTGGAACAGCAATGCCAAGTCCCATTAACAGTAGAACAGTATTTCCCCCAAGAAAGTGTCAAGATATGCACGTTGGATGTATGCAGGATAGCAATAAACTACCAGAATGGGGACGTTCTTAGGACACTTCTTTGATGACAGAACCCCATAACTGTACTCCCTGCCCCGTGTCCTGGGAGGGCTGCACCACTGTTAGCCCACAACCGCCCCTGCTAGATACAGGGTTTTCAGCCTAATTCTCTGGGTCTAGATACACTGCTCATTCCTACCTACCAACAGCCTCACATGCCCCCACGATGCCCAGGTACGAAGAGAAGAGAAGAGAAGGGCCTGAGTGATGAGATGCCTGTGAGAGCTTTGCTCTCCTTCACAGTCCCTTTAGAAGGCCCATCAGCATCTAATCATGTCCTCAGGTCTGCAGCCCACAGTGAATGGGCCTGTGTAAGTATTGCCAATGGCCCTTTGCAAGTGACACAAATCTGGCCCAGGGGGCATGGGATGGGTTATCGTGGCTTAGGTAGAAACTGCCTTATCTCTGCACAGGTGCCCAGGGGAGTTAAAAGATAGGGAGGGAAAGGCCAGTACCTTGTTTCTCAGGGCTGGGTCTGCCCCTGCTTCCAGGAGCAGCGCGACTGTTTTAATATTCCCACTGAGCACTGCCGCATGGAGGGCCGACGTCCCATTCTAGGAGAAAACAACAGTGTGTGTCAGGAGTGGGCTCACGGCCATCAGCACTGAGCCTGGCTTTCATCATAGCCCAGCCTAAGTGAGGAGACTAGGGTCAGAGCTTTGCTCTTCCTCACAGTCCCCCGCTTGAGGGCACGTCAGCATCTAATAGAGTGTCTTCAGGTCCCCAGCCGATGGTCCGGGTAAACACTGCCAACATCCTTTGGCAAGTGAAACAAGAAATCTGGCCCAGGGTACATGTGACTTCGCAATCAGTCCGTCAGTTTTAAACGTATTAGAACTTACTGCAGCAAAAGTGATAATGCCACATTATTTTATTTTTTCTTCAAGGGCAACATACACAGTTTCTGCACTTCCAGCGAGCCTGGAGAAATGACTGGTAAACCAAGGGGCCGACCTGTCAGCCCAGCTACCTGCTATCCATGCACTGAGGTGGGAGTGAGCACCACTGTGGGCTCACAGGCTGTCAGCACGTGCAGTGAGGAAACCCCGAAGCCCCGAGGTAGAGCATTCTTGAGCATGAAAGGGGCCCATTGGTTGGGTTGCTGACATTTTATGAAATGTACTGCAAATATCTACTGAACCAAGGAAGCATTGACGTGCAGCACATAGCTAGATTCTGGGAGGGGAGAGGAAGAGAATATAACAAGCCTGATATAAGAATGATGGGCAGTCACATGATATCTGTTCCAGAAGATGCATATGTTTACAAGTGCATCTAAATGCAAGCTTAGTTTCCACATTAGCTATTTATAATAATAATAATAATAATATTTTCTTAATTTATAAAAGAATAAAATATAATGCCCATAGAAAAATTCCAGCAAAGTAGCATTTTCCTTTCTAAAGCAGCATGTTTACTTTTATAACGTGTATGACAACTCACTTGTCTGGTGATACTTCACTCATCTAAATCTTCACCAACTTGTCAACTTCATCTATTTGCAACATGGCTAAGAATATAATACCAAGCCAAAAAAGAGCTCTTTGAAACACCACTAGGTATTACAAAGTCCATTTCTGAAGCTCATTTCTTTCATTCCTAGAGCTCCCTTTCACAGACCATTTATTCTTACTTTACAAACAATGTTAATGAATGTAGCTTTCCTGCTTCCGAGCTCATGGAAGATTAGAAGTTGGTCACTGGGACAGAGAGAGGGGCCAGCATTCTGACAGGAGGCCTGTATCAGCTGATCAGAGGGATAGAGCCTAAATACATAAAGATTAGATACAGAGTGTCCCAAAGCCTCTGGGATCATTCAAGGACAGGTTGACTTTTTTATGTGTCAATAAAGCGAGGGCTAAGTGCTAGCCAGTGTTCCAAGTTTAGAACAGGTTTCTTGTCCTCAACTGAGGAAAACAATAATATAAATTAGGGGTCCTCAAACTGCAGCCGGTGGGCCAAATTGAGCCTGCCACTTTTCTATGTCCTGGCAAGCTGAGATTTAAAAAAAAAAAAAAAAAGAAAAGAAGAGTACTACATGAAAATATGAGATTCTGGAAATACAATCCATTCAAAAAGTGTGAGTGGAACGTAGCCAACCCTTGCGCCCATGGCTGCTTTCAAGCTACAAGAGCAGAGTCGAACAGTTCCAGCAGAGCCCCTATGGCCCATGAAGCCTAAAATATTTCCTCCCTGGCCCTTTATGAAAAAATTTGCCAAACCCTGGTTTATACTGTAATTTAAAAATATCTTAGTCTCAAACGGATAAATTTAAAAAAGGATTTTGGGGCTCTGCCTCCTGGCAGACCCAGCTCTCCAGGCTGACACATCCTTTGGGGTGTCCAGAGATGTGAGTCTTATTTTCTTTCATCTAAGATAACAATGTGGTTCTTTGCTCCAGATAATGAAGGGAAGAAACATGAGCACCTGTCCCCCAAGTTTCATAGGACACTAATTATGCATTTCATGAGTTGTGGAAGATTTTAGGCCCATGAGAGATATATAGATATATCTATCTATCTATATATCTAAATAGTGGTAATTAAATCACTATCTATCTATCTATCTATATATGAAGATAGTTTACTTTTTCTATATCTATATATATCTATCTATGTGTATATGAAGATAGTTTACTTTTCAAGATAGTGATTTAATTACCACTATTTTTTTCCCCTGGAAAACTAAGTAGCAACAGCCTCTGGTTCACTCTTCTTATCACCCTGCCATTTCAACCAGTGCCCATGAATCTCCAACATTAAGAAACTGTAGGTAAGTTCTTTCAAGAATGCAACTAACCATATGAATTATCTCAGCTTCTCCTGCAGGCCTCAGGTATGGGCTTCTTAATTTTCAACCTCTCTTTTATAGATTGGTAAAATTTCTAAGTCTTACCTTCAAAATGCCAAGGGTAGGTGAGAATTTCAGCAGCTCTTCTATAACATCATTATATCCTTTGTTGGCTGCTTTGAGCAATGCTGTTGTACCATCCTTAACAGAGTGGAACAGAAAAGTTGACTTAACATATGTGTGTGTTGGCTAAGAACTAAATGTTAATTGAGAACCGGGAATACACTTGTCAGAACAGGTGAAAGGAGAAAGGCCATGTCTCTTAATCTGGGAGCATTTTAGAGCATAATCAGTTCTGCAGGAAAGAATGCTGGACAAAACATGTGACTTATTCTCTTAGAACCCTGCCATTTGGGAATTCAGACTCTTCCAGTCCCTTAGAACACTGGGTAACACTGGAGAGAGGGGGATATCAAGAATATATTTTAGGACATGGATGGACCAAAGAGGCATTGTCTGTAGTTCATGGCTTAGTGGAAATTAATTTTAAACTATTTTTAATGACTTAAATAATTACTGAACTGTATTTACTGTTTTAAAATTTTGAATGTGCTTTTCTTTTTGCTTTGTCTAATATACAACTTTGCTCCACTGGGCCTAGGTATCTGTCTCTGGTGGTTGGGGATGGGTAGGTGGTGAGTAGGAAGGGGACAGACTGAAATCTGTTAAAAAGAAATGCAAGCCCTGCCTCCACCCCTCCGGTCCATCCAGCAATCACCCCCTCCCTGCCTTGGGGGCCCAGGATGTAGATACTGTACAAAGGTTTCTAAAAAGAAATGCAAAAATGCAAAAATTTATATTCAGCTTCTGTCATCACTTTTTGGCTTGGGAAGAGATTTTCCAAATTCCTCCCCGCTACCCCGCTTTTACATATCAATTGCTGTATTTGGAGGATTCAGTTCACAGAATTCTGTAGTCAAGGAACTATCCCAGTCTGCTCTAAAGGTTTAATTTAGCTAGAATCAGGAAGAAAGAAAATGCGATTAGAGGGTTTTTCTTTTCTGGTTTCAGAGATGTGCGAAGAAGAGATAAAGTGGGAGAGAGGACAGTGAAGTAGGCAGAAATGTGTCTTTACCCCTTCTGGGCTCAGACATGGAGAAGGGAGGTGGGTCACATAAGCAAGGGTAATAGTAAGGGTGAAAAGGCCAGACACTGTAAAAACAAAACCAAACCAAACCCAAAAAGCAAATGGCATAGTGTGGTCAGGCAGCAGGGTCTCCCCAAGCTGCCCTTAGTTCCTATGGGCTACATACAGGGCCTGCTGTGGGGCCCATCGAGGCAGACTTAGGTGACATTAGCATTGCTAGGTGGAGGCCAATGAGGGATGTGGTGTAGGGGTCCGCAGCCGGGGAAGCCGTGTAAGGTGGAGCCCCAGAACACTACTGGGCCCCAAAACACAGACGCTGCGCCCCCACCTGCACTGCGGCCCAGGGCCAACAGGAGGCGCAGCGCAGCCAGACGCGCTGCGGCTAGGGACACCCCCAAGGACAGCCCCAGGCCCGGGCTCCTACCTCCAGCATTTCTCCCGGGTTCATCCAGGAGTCAGCTCAGGTGGAGGAGGATCTCCGGTTATTAAATATCTTATCCTTGGGGAGAGTGGGCAGCATTTGCTAAGTTTCAGCTGACTTGGACATACTTTGTTTTCCTGCTGAAGAGCCGGGGGAGGCTGGGAGAAAATCCCGGGGGAGTTACAGACCAAATAAAGGTGCGTTTTCGCCTCACGTCTGAGCCAGGCTGAATTTTGGAGCTTTGGGGCATACACTACCCATCCCCGTCCCTCCAGCCCCCACGTGCCGCAGCTGTGGCTCAGACTCACATTGCGGGCGGCATCCCGGTCTGCTCCGCGCAACAGCATCACCCTCACCACCTCGCTGTGGCCCATCTGCGACGCGATCCACAGTGGTGCTGTCCCGTCCTGCCGGGGAGGCGAGACGCTTGCTCTGACCCAGCAGCCGCCGAGCAGCAAGGCAGTGCCCACAAACAGCACCCCCCACCCCCGACACATGAGGACGGAGATGTCAACCCATTTACACAGACAGGCACTTGGCAGTGCCTGGAACACCCGGAATGCGTGATTGCCAACATCGGGGTTTGGGCTTATAATACAGCCATTTTATGGCAGAATCTTTTAGCCCATAGGAGGGTGAGGGACTTCACGGAACACGTTGTGGAAAAGCGCTTGGGTGGCTCACCAAGGCAGAACCAAATCTGACAAACCCAGGAAGGAGAGGCCAGCATGTGTTTATTTTCCCCGGATTCTCTGCTTTGCTGGTGGGTTCACACAACACACCCTGCTTAGTGGGGGCCCTCGTTTCCACAGGAGAAAGCAGTTTTCTTGGAAGTGATGTGAGAGGGCCAGAGAACTAAAGACATTTCTCCCACTCCTCTATTCTAGTGTCTAGAATCCCCCACAGACGGCCATTTTTAGGAACTTCAGTTTCATGCAGGATGTGATATGATTTCTTCTGGGAGGGAATGCATACTAGCAATTTAGAGTAGGGTGACATTTTTGGTACTATTTCCCTATTTCCCACTATTGTGCCCCCAAAGAGCCTGTTTATGTGAGCACTGGGCCATGATGTGGAGAGGTGTTGCTCCAGAGAAGAAAAGGTGAACCATCCAAGGGAGGGAGAAGGATTTGATAGGAGGATTTTTTGTTTTCCAGAAGGGAAAACAGAAAACCTATCTCGTGCTGGAAGGAAGCTCTAGAGACGGAGTGGGGGAGATGGAGGTCAGATGTGAGTGTCGGTGTTTTCCTCCTGGCTTGAATCTGGGTTAGGTAAGCACCCAGATAAAGTACGGTGAATTCCAGATGGAAAAGGATTTTCTCCTGTTCTCAGGATGAAACCCAGGGAAACTGCAGGCGTCTTAGAGAAACTCTGCTCCTGGCTGGTGCCTGAGAGAGAGAACAGAAATGGATGAGGGAGTCTGGGCCAATGGGCCCAAGACATCTGCCAGGATCCCTGATTCCCATCAATGAGGCATCTGCGCACCCAGGAGTTCCTGTCTGCCTGTGGGAAAGTGGAAGTGCTGGGTAAACAGTGGTCAGGGAAGATAAGGCCATAGAAGATCATGATTTCAGGATGACAGGCCAACAAGGTACCAGCCAGGATACTCACAGACAGGAAAGGCTGGACAAAACGGCACAAGGACCAGACATGAGTGTCCCCACCCCACCTTAACGCCAGGGTAATAGTCTGACCTCTGAGGACTTAGGCCACTTTGGAGGGAAGGGCAAGGAGGAGGGCAGAGGGACCAGAACTCACTAAACATAGGTTCTGACGTAATGAAGGCAATACGGTCCAGGGGACTGTTTCGGTCAGCTAAGACTGAATTACTCAACAGTGGGAAATGGGGCTGAAGAGCCAGATGACTCAGTTAGAGAACATAAAGCTTCATTTTCTGCTGCACTATATAATTTCAGCTCCATTCTACTAGCCACAGCAGGCACAGGATTCTTGCCCATTGCTGTCCAGGAAAAGGGATAGAGGACAAAGAGGTCTGAGTGGGGTGGTGGGTGATGTCAAATTTGGAACCTAGAAGAATCCAGGAGTGCTGAGGGGTGGTAGGAAGACACTAGTACTGTGTCTTGGGAGAGGTGGGAAAGAGGTGCTGAATGAAACAGGGTGGAAAAAGGATGAACACCTAGAGCCGCTTCAAGCTTTTACAAGGTCTCTGTAGGAATATTCTTGAATCTGAAGATCATTATTAGCAATAGAAATAATACCTTACTTTGTACTTTCGTTTTACAAAGAATGTCTACAATCATTAGTTAATTTGATTCTCCTAATTTAGAATCATTCATTCCTTCATTCACTCAACCAACCAGCAATTATTAAGTATCTTCTAAGTCTCTGGCAGAATACTAAAGAAGACATGGTCTCTGATCTCAGGTCTCAAAGGAACTTAGTCTAGTGGAGATGGGATATGGAAATTTCAAGATGATTACAGTGCTATAGTAAAGTATGGACAAAAGTGCCCAAGATGAGTCAGGAGAGGCACCTGCTTACTGTGTAGAAGTTACGGGGGTCAGTTGGGGTGATATCTGGGCTGGGCCTTAAAGGAAGACTAGGATTTTGCTAGGTAGGGGTGAGAGGGGAGGACATTCCATGTAGAAAGAAGAGCATTTACAGTCACAGGGGCTTGGACAGGTGTGGTTGGTTCAAGCAGAGTAGGAAATCCAGTGGACTGTGGTCCAAGCAGTGTGCGCTGGAATGGAAGGGGGCAGGAGAGGGAGGCAGAGCGCTGGAAACTCTTGTCCCTCCTTGCCTGCTCTGGGCTCACTTGTTCTTTGTCACTATCTCCAGCAGAGGGCATGCAAGGAAAGGCAGCCAGCCTCAGAGAGGCCCACTGGTGACTTGTTCAATGTGCCTTCCAAGGGCTTGCCTGTTAGTAAAATGATCTTAATTGATACTAACATGTGGAAAAATGTTGAGAGGTGGTATACTGGGAAAAAATTATCCCTCCCTCCATCTGAGATGATATTTTCAAGTATCCTTTTATAACATTTTTATAGATAGATCATAGCATGAGATGACGCATATGACATCATTTGTTTTAGAAACTAAATGTTGGGTTATTTTAGTTAGGGTCCTAAAGATTATTTAGCAAATGAATTAAAATTATTTTGTCCATGGGAATGAATATATTTCGCAGCACTAGCTTTTTGCTTCTGCTTCTTCTAGTCCTCACACTCAGGCTACTTCCATCTATAGATTCAAGCCAGACACAGGGGTCCCTGCTTGGTGTCTCCAGGCTAGAAAATATGATAGTATTTAGTAAAAGATGATACCAGATGTCTGTCTTGCCCAGCCTGAGCCCATTCCCCCCATCCACAGGTGCTCATACCAAGGGTGGGCAGGCCGGCCAGTCCACTGTGGTCCAGTGTGTAGAGCCCAGTGGCAACCATGACATCGCTATCCCAAGAGTTGGGTAGTCTGACCTATAAACTTAGGGACTATATGCAAGATGAGTAGGCAGAGGATGTTAGGGAAAAAGGGAGTAGGAAGACAGAAAGAGAGGCAAGAGGGGACTTTGAGATGACACAGACTACATGGCTCACAAGAGAAAGGGCACAACCCTGACTTCTGATGGGTTTCTATTCCATTGAGGCCTGGATGAAATAGAAATCATAACAGCAAAGGCACCATAATTATCCTTGTTTAACAGATGAAAAAACAAAACAAAATCCTGGACTACATAAAAATAAAAAGCTTATATACAGCAAAGGAAATAATCAACAAAACTAAAAGACAGCCTACTAAGTGGGAGAAGATATTTGCAAATACATACATAATAAAGGGTTAATATCCAAAATATACAAAGAACTGATGCAACACAACACCCAAAAAACCAAATAATCCAGTTTAAAAGTGGGCAAAAGACATGAACAGACATTTCTCCAAAGAAGGACTATAGATGGCCAACAGATGCATGGAAAGATGTCCAAGATCATTCATCATCAAGGAAATACAAATCAAAACCACAATGAGATAACACCTCACACCTGTCAGAATGGCTAAAATCAACAACACAAGAAACAACAGGTGTTGGTAAGGATGTGGAGAAAAAGAACTCTCGGGGTGCCTGGGTGGCTCAGTGGGTTAAGCCTCTGCCTTCGGCTCAGGTCATGATGTCAGGATCCTGGGATTGAGCCCCGCATCGGGCTCTCTGCTCAGCAGTGAGCCTGCTTCCCCTCTCTCTCTCTGCCTGACTCTGCCTACTTGTGATCTCTGTCTACTTGTAATCTCTGTCTGTCAAATAAATAATAAATAAAATCTTAAAAAAAAAAAGAACTCTCATACTGTTCAGTGGTGGGAATGCAAACTGGTACAGCCAAGGTGGAAAACAGTATGGAGTTTCCTTAAAAAATTAAAAATAGAATTACTATATGATCCAGTAATTCCACTACTGGTATTTACCCAAAGAACATGAAAACACTAACTTGAAAAGATATAGGCACCTCTGTTTATTGCAGCATTACTTACAATAGCCAAGATATGGAAGCAGTTCAAATGTCCATCGATAGAGGAATGGATAAGAAAGATGTGGACGCACACACAACACACACACACACACACACACACACACATATATTACTGAGCCATAAAAAAGAATGAAACCCTGCCATTTGCAACAACATGGATAGACCTAGCAGGTATAATGCTAAGTGCAATAAATCAGTCAGAGAAAGACAAATACCATATGATTCACTCATATATGGAATTTAGGAAACAAAACAAATGAACAAAGGATAAAAAAAGAAATACAAGCTAAGAAACAGATTGTTAATTATAGAGAACACACCAATGCTTACCAGAGGGGGTGAGGGGGAGATGAGTGATATAGGTGAAGGGATCAAGAGTGTACTTACTGTGTTGAGTACTGAGCAATATATAGAACTGTTGAATCACTCTGTTATATGCCTGAAACTAATACAACACTGAACGTTAACTGTACTAGAATTAAAATAATAAAGGAAACCCAAAGAACCCCTGAAATTCAGGAAATGTAAGTGACTTGCTCAAGGTCATGCAGTCAATAAGCAAAATGGACTGTGTTTCATTTCCTTAAGTCATCCATATCCCCATAACTCACAAGCTATTCTCCACCCAGCGGCGTGGATGTGGCTCCCTGGCTGGGTTTTACAGTTGTCTTGGCTCCAGTGCCCAGCCCTACATGTGAGCCTCGTTCTAGTTCGCAGCCACTCATCACTACGTCTTCAGCCTTCCAGGCCTCACTGGAGCTCTGCTCGAACCATGGGGTAGCTTCTGGAGTCAATATAAGTTTTCAGAGTGCCTACCATGTGCAGAGGGCATGCAAGACGTGGGGCCTCCCTGTTGCTGTCTGCTTCCACCCCCAACCCCTCTGCAAAAATCCATTTGCCCCACTTTCTCCCATTGGCCACCACTGGATTTGCCCCTCCAAGCTTGCAACCTGGGAGGACCAGCACTATCCGGGCCCCAGCATCTCTGCATACAAGTGCAAACCAAGGCTAGAGAAGACACGCTTCAAAGAAACCCTGATTAGCACACTGAGAGGAAAAGCTGGAGATGAGTGATGACAGGCCCGACTCAGCCCTGGGTAGACACTCAGACCTTTGCCACTCCATGAAAGCACTGTTTCATAAGGGGGATGAGTTGAGTTAGGAAAAGTACACTTCAAAGTATTTTGTTGATAGAAAAACAGACTAAACAGCCATCTTAGCTGGTGATTAAAAAGGCCTGAGTGTATCAACTCTACATGCTGTGGTCACATAGAAAGAACTGAAGATGAATTTTTAGCTTGATTATAGAGTACAATGATCTTGGTGACCTTGACCCTCTTTAGGATGAACTAGGGAGAAATATTTTTCAAGTTTCAAATCAAGAGCTCAGTCTTTCCAAAGTCTGCTTATGACTTTGTGATTCGGATTCCTTCTCACAAAAGCCCTAGAAAGGTTTTCAGTTCATCCATGATAGAGTTACGAGGAAAAGCCACTCCTACCACTGTTCAGATTCCCTGAAGCTCGGTCTGCGGAATAATTTCAGTGTAACTCCGTGAACATGCTGTCCCAGGGGTACCATAAAATGTTGGGACCCCGGAGAATGGCAAGGAAAGAAATCATAAATCTGATTTATCTAAAAGCATTAAGAATGAAATCGGGCAAGCATCCTTGTCTTTGTTTTATAAATTCAAGAATTTTCTGACAGGGACTCCATGTGTCAGCTGAGATTTTGGAATACTGCACTGGTTTCCGAATGCCCTGCTGATGTAATAGTCTAGCACTCACAGGCCATTTTAATGGAAACTTTTAGTTACACTTTTTTTTTTTTAAGGTTTTATTTATTTATTTGACAGAGAGAGACCACAAGCAGGCAGACAGGCAGGCAGAGAGAGAGAGAGGAGAAAGCAGGCTCCCTGCCAAGCAGAGAGCCCGAAACGGGACTCGATCCCAAGACCCTGAGATCATGACCTGAGCTGAAGGCAGAGGCTTAACCCACTGAGCCACCCAGGCACCCCAACTTTTTTTATTTTTTAAAGCTCCTCATAACTTGTGACAAAGTCATCCAGGACTACTATCGCTTTTGCCATATTTATGACCCTGCTTGTTTTGTAGGAAGGGAATTAAATATGCAGAGTTTACTTTTTTTTTTGCAGAGTTTACAGTTTCAAAGAAGACAGGCCCTGGGCTAGTCTGACCTGGCTAGATAACCTTTCCTTATCAGCTCATGGCAGGTAATAAAAAGAGTATGGCTTGAAGGAACAGTGGGGTTAATGTACCCTATAAAAAGGAAAAATTCCATTGCTTTTTTCCCCTCCAAAGCTATTTTTATTTTATAAAACACCCCTTTTCCTGAATAACAATTTTTTCAGAACTGGACTCATAATTCCAAACAATTGCACTGGATGCAGTCTTTGAAGGGCATGTCACTTGCACTTTGATCCGAGGGAGGGGTCCTCCAAACAGCTGGACTAGGTCATCTTTGACCAGGTCATGCTCACCATGAGGAATGAAAGCAGGCGTGGGGGTGTGGCCAGCCCTGTACTGTTGGCTCACTCTTTAATTTCTTGGCTTTGGGTTCATCTTATGACTCAACTTAGCTTTGAGTGGTCACCATCCATGTACTATTCGAAATATAATCTTTTTATTAAAAGATTTTATTTATTTATTTGAGAGAGAGAGAGAGAGAGAATAAGAGAGAGAGAGCTGAGAGGGGAGAGGTCAGCAGGAGAAGGAGACTCCCTGCCGAGCAGGGAGCCCAACATGGGACTCAATCCTGGGACTCCAGGATCATGACCTGATCCGAAGGCAGTCGCTTAACCAACTGAGCCACCCAGGTGCCCTGAAATATAATCTCTTATATCAACTTGTTTTTTTATGAATAGTACCTGAGGCATACGGTTAGTACGATTCACTTTACAAATAGATTTGTCAAAGTGCCAAAGACTATTTCAGGAAGATGTACAGATAGAGAAGCCTGGTAATCTTGACAATCTTTCATTTCTAAATTCACGGTGGTACCCTCAATAATGGCCTCCAATCAAACTTCTGCAATCTAAAAATGACCTTTGGCAAAATGAAGCATCTGATTCAGAATCAATCAAGACTTTCAAAATAAGGAGGACCAACAAGAAAATATTAAGCTCCAATCCCCAAACATCAACTCTGGCAGGTATGGAAGTGCAACTTTTTCTAAGAGCCTCCTCTCCCAAGAGTATTCCTGGGGCCATCTAAATCTAAGACTATCTTTAAAACTCTAAAAGTTTAATCTTACGTAGCAGTATTTGGCGTATGTTAAGTGCTTAAGAAATACTGATTGAGTTTTGAATAAAACAGTTATTAAGAAGGGGGGAGCTTGAAGAGATTCTCGGGGTTATCCTGTCCAGCCTCCTAATTTTCAGATGAAGGAAGAGAAGTTGAGAGATGTTGATTCACTTGTTCCAAACCACACAGCTAGTTATTGGCAGAGCTGGATCTAGAATTCAGGATTCCTGACCTCAAACCCACTTTGCCCAAAGGCCCTTTGTCATCTTAGGTTCCTATGCACTTGGACTTCTAAAGACTGAAGAAGCCTGGGTCCAAGAGCTCAGACCAACCTTCCCTATGTGAACATATAGGCATATGTTACATTACATATCATGTCACATTATTATGGGAATCTGCCTGGGTGTCATTTCCTGGGAAGAAATCAGCTTGACTTTTCCCCGAGAAAACTACCCTTAAAGTTATGTTACTTTAATCTGAAATGTTTTGTTAAAAACAAATTAATTAGTGCAGAAACCATTCCTATATAAGAGAAGCTAATTATAATGCCTTAGATTTGGATGGTTCTTTACCATTCATAAAGTGTGACCTATATTACCTGGTAGTTCTGTTCTTTTAGGTATCAACTGATTTGCTAGATGTTAGCTTGGTTTTGGTAAAGTCAGTCTCAATAGTGTTATGATTGGGCGAGATGAAGGTGTAGAACCTACTAATGATTCCCAGTGGGCTGAAGGGCTCATCTTCCATGCCAGGGGTAAGAGATAAGACAGTGTATCAGCAGAGGGACTGGAGAGGGGCAAGGCTACCTGACTCACCTCTATTTACCTATGTCCCAGGCGAGTGCACTCTCATGACCTCAGCGCAGCCATAATTTATTTGAACAAGAGGCGGCCAAGTATGTACTTGACCTCAGACACCAAACACCCAATTTTCAAAAAGAGTAAATGGTGAAGTCAGCCTGGTATCACAGGCTTGCTGGTGAGCCCAAACAAAGGATAGGAGAAACCCTAATCCAAGATTAACTTCATCACCGAGGCAAAAGGGTTGAAGGATGCCCAGAGTTGACCAGTTATCTCAGGAGCTGCTGCAGGACGGCAGGCCCTCCCCGCCCCAGGACGGCAGGCCCTTCCTGCCCCACAGCCCTGCCCACACGGACATTACCTGCCTTGGCTGGTTGACTTTTGCTCCTGAGGACAACAACAGTCGAATCACATCCAAGTAACCACCTTGGGCGGCGAGGAAGAGGGCAGTGGCTCCATCCTGAGAGATGTCAGAATGAAAGGGTTCAAATCATCTTTCATGTTTATTTTAAAAGAAATTCAATTACAAATACGTCTGTTTAATACAACTTTCCACTTCTGTCCCCCACTTTGTTTTCATATTCATGGTTAGTGTTTTATTCTTTGAAGAATAGGTCTACAATATCACAAGAAGTCAGGTGGAAAGGTAGTGTTTCAAATAGACTTAAAAGGATATGTTATAACAAATATAATGACTGTTCACTCCACACAGTCTTGATCATGGAGCTTATCATCCACTCCCTTGGCAGCGGCACCCAGGCTGTCCAAATAGCTAGTCATCATTTTTCTCTCATCCGCACAGACTTCTCATTAGCTGTCACCAGTGTTCTTTGTGGGATCTCAGAGTTATCCCCTTTCGATTAGTTTAACAAATACATATGTTTAATACAGTTTTCCACTTCAATTCTTTGGTCAAGTAAGGGCTCAGTGTTAGTTTAAAGAACAAACACAAAATAAAGTCTATTAATTAAAAAACAATGAACAAGCCCCCCAAACCGCAGGTATGTTTTTATGAATCAGAAATTAAAGTGTCCTTTTAATTAGATCTTTCCTACCCCTTTCTCTTTCTTGCCCCATCTCCATATCACTCCCCCCCAACATGCCAATTTTCTAAGCTTTGAAACAAAAGATGCTTCTAGAAAAACTGCCCTGGTAAACTCCATGAACTTGCTCCCCGACAGCCCAGAAGACACCAACAACACGTATAAAGAATGAAGAAGTCCTGCAGGAAAGCTCAAAGCAAACACTTGCTTCCATTTCTCTTTAGTGTCTATGTCCTCTGGGCATTTCTTTCTTAAAGACCTGTCACTGGTAATGGCAGCGAACACAGCACTCGGCTCAGAGCATGCCTCCTTCCCAGAGGCTCACCTCCTGTAGACAGCATTCACAGAGTGGGCCGAGCTTCATTATTTCTAGACCGCAGTGGAAAACCCGGGCACAATCTAGTGGAAAACACCTCGCTCACCCAGTTAATTACCACCCCTCCCATCAGGAACCTTAACCACAAGTTAAAATACAAAGTGCTTTTCCCTGCCAGTCCAGCCAGGTGGAGGGTGCTAGGTTTCTGGTGGGTGTCAGCTGAGCTGCCAAACTCCTCTTCAGGCAATCATTAAAAAATTACTCAGCCTGTATAGATCTTTAAGCAGAGGTTTGATATGGGGAGGAAATATTCAGCTGCTCCTTACTGTGTGGCCACAGAAAACCCACCGTGCTCTTCGCAGCCGTTAACTCGGATATTCCCTAAAATGCCTATCCAAGCATTGCAGTTTTTACTGCACACGACACATTTCTGTTCCTAGAAGCTTTCAGGAGTCATTGACTGGGGATCCTCCATGTTCTGATTGTTTTTAGTGGAAACATTTGTATTTGGACAATTTGGGTGAGGGTGAATGTCTTAGCATAAAATGGAAGTTTCAGTGCATGAAATTTCTTTTTTTAAAAATATTTTATTTATTTAATTGAGAGAGAGAGAGAGAGAAAGAGCATGAGAGGGGAGAAGGTCAGAGGGAGAAGCAGACTCCCCATGGAGCTGGAAGCCCGATGCAGGACTTGATCCTGGGACTCCAGGATCATGACCTGAGCTGAAGGCAGGCGCCTAACCAACTGAGCCACCCAGGTGACCCGGTGCATGAAGTTTCTTGAGTCACTTCATAACAGAGAATAATTTAGTACAGGAATGGGCTCTCCCCAAACTCTGCATTTCTAAGATTATTTGCCACTCTGGGGTGAGCCTTTTGGATGGAATGTTGTCTAACAAGCACAGATCTGCCAGTCCATTTGGATTGCTGACTATTAATGGTAATGGCATGAAAATCACAACTCATTTTCCTTTTCCAAAGACTTGGGTTCTTCCTGTTGAACTACACACACACACACACACACACACACACACACACACACACACACTCATTCATGCTCTCACATATACTTCATTATATGCAGCGAAAGAATTAGCCAAAGCTGTGGACCCGTGTTCTTAGACTTGGCCGCCCATCAGAACCATCGGCTGCCCAGTTGTGCCCTCAGAGATTCCAGCTCCGTCTGGGATGGGCCTGGAAGCTCTTCCCTCACCCCCAGTTCCCTATGTGGTTCTAATGGCCGCCAGAGCTGAGAATCACTCCCTCAGACCCGTATCAAGGAACTCGGTCACTGAAGTGAGAAAGCTGCGGGTTCAAAGCGTGTTACAGATTTTGAAGTGCAAAAGGGTGGTGCTAGCTGCTATGTGCTTCACAGAGGTCTGTGACATGGCAGTCCATCAGGTAAACTCAGGGGAGGGTATTCAAATGGAGAAGATCCCCCTGACACATCTCACTACATGTCTATGAAGGTGTTGTGTGTGGGGCACGTCTGCTGGCGGGATAGCCTAAAATACAATTCCTATGGAACCAGCAGTAGGAACCCTTCTACTCCTCGTGATGACTCTATCAAGTCACTTTATCTCCTTATATTTTATTTTTGTTATTGTCCAAAGCCAGAATAACAGGAATGACGGCGACGATGGAAAGAGCCTTTGGGCCATGTGCTAATTGTTAATTAGCTGCAACAGACCCACACTGGCAGCAGGAGCCTCTGGAAGGCCAGTGGTGTGCGTGTTCTTCAGTTCTTCACCCCTACCCCATCTCACTTCTCTTCGAATAACTTGATTTTTCCTTTATGTGTGCTCTTCCTCCCAGATAACTCTACGACAGGAGCGTTATTCTGCTTTTCAGCAAGCCCATATGCTGGGCTCGTTATCTTATGGGTAAGTACGTGTCATGTGATTTTTGAAGCTCCTGCCCACATACGTTATATGAGCTCCCGAGTATGTATGAGAGGTTTAAAGGGTAAAACAAAGGTGGGTAAACAAGGTTATGTGCTTCTCCATAGAAAAAGCTCATCTAGCTAATTCCAGCTTTTTCTTGGATTGAAGTGCTACCACTCATTAAAATATTTTTGAAGAGGCATTTCCGGCATCTGAATTTAGACTGCAATGCTGAGGCTGAGGAGGGGGTAGGCAAGCGTCCAGCTAACGTCCCCTTGAAAACGCACTCACGTGGAGTTGGTCGTGGATGTCGGCTCCATGCTTCAGCAGCGTCTCTACCACCCGCTTGTGTCCATACTGGCTGGCAGCCAACAGGGCTGTGCCCCCATCCTGTAAGGTAGTACCATGTTAGAAGGGTGCAGACGTGTCTACCAAGCAGATGCTCCCACAGAGGGAGAGCTTCGGGAAAGACTTTCCTCATAGATGACAACAAACTCACCTTTCCTTTTTCATCTCTTTCTCTTTATAGTCATGACAGGGTTCCTCCTGAAGGCATCACGTCATACATGTGGATGACTTGCTTAGGATACATTATAGTTACTGGACTATGTTATTGTGAGTCACTGCCCATGTCAAATGCAGAATTATCTATTTGCATCTCAATAAAGGAAATGAAGACTGGAAAGCCTGTACCAGTCACTTCTGTCTTGGAATTACCTGAAGTCTCCGGTGTCTTCCGTCTAGAGACCCTCTTGACAACTATTGGCTTCTCCCTGTGTTTTCCCCCAGCAGTGGGCCTCGAAGATTAAGGTGATTTATGGAGTAACCATCTGGGGCCATTGTCTCTAGGGGATAAGGTGCGGGTCCATTAAGAGTGGGTAACTGCACGCACCCCGTGAACCTCTCACCATCCTATTTAGCATTTTCCTTTGAACATGTGCCAGTCTGTCCAGATCTCTTTTAAAATGTGGGCCCTAGAACGAATCGGAGCCCAGAAGAGTAGATGTGGTCTGATGGGGAATGGGACATTCCTTTGTTCCATCTATTCAACTTTTATCTTGACAGCCTGAATTAGAATTAGCTTTCATGTCAACCACATCACACTACTGACTCACTGAGTCTGTGGTCAACTGAAACCCTTGATGGTTTTTCTCAGGTGCTGCAGCCAAGGCATTATCTTTTCCCATCTACATCTGGGGAGCTGTTTGTTTGGCTCTGCGAATTGGTCTGTGGACATCTGTGCTCGTCGTAAATAACGTAAGAACATGTCATCTGGTTCTGAAATACAAACCCTAACTCTAATAGAGGGTGGTTTATAAATCTGGGGCACAGAGTGTTTATGCAGAATGCCTGCTCTCCGACTCCCACCCTCATAGGGTCTGATTCTGGTGAGGCCCAGAAACAGGCTTTCTGACCAGTCATGTGAGGGGACTGTGGTATGAGGGTGGCAGGTGGGTCTCACTTGGAGAAACACTGCTGTAAGAGCTCCCTTGTTCACAGGCTGTGTGTGTGGGGAGTGGGCACTTGAGCTGTGATTTGAAGGGGGGAGAATGGAGGACAGACTGGAGGGCTAAGGCTGCTGGGGGGTGGGCCAATGTGGGTGGGGTGTATGGGCACCAAAAATCGCAATAGCAGCAAGGAACACCAACATGTCCAACTATCGTTCTGTCAGTTTTTCTCTTTGCCTAATGAGGTAAGAGAATAGATAAAATATGGTGATTGTCATAGAAGAGCTGGTACCTTTTATTTTTGTTATTTTATTTATTTTTTAAGTAGACTCTATACCCAGTGTGGAGTCTAATGCGGGGCTTGAACTCATGACACTGAGATCGTAACCTCAGCTGAGATCAAGAATCAGATGCTTAACCCAGGTGCCCCTGTACCTTTATTTATTTATTTTTAAATAGTTTACTTATTTATTTGAGAGAGAGAGACAGCACGCATCCATGAATTGGGGGTGGGCAGGGGGTCAGAGGGAGAGATAGAAGCAGATAGAAGCAGCTCCCTCAGCAGGGAGACTGATGTGGGGCTCGATCCCAGGACCCCAGGATCATGACCTGAGCTGAAGGCAGATGTTTTACTGACTAAGCTACCCAGGTGCCTCTTTATCTCTTATTTTTAAAAACACATTTTGGGGGATAGCTTTAATAATGATGAGAACAACTGTTGAAACAAAGGTAATTTTGATGACAGGATCATATGATAACTGAACGCCTCTTGACATTCTCTTCTTCCTATGGAAAGTTCTTGGACACCTGCAGGTGACCTAATGGAAACATTTGGAATTACGCTCCAGGCCCTGTGTTCCATGGATTTCTGGGACAGCACACACTGCTGCAGGGACAAAGGCTGAAAGCCGGCATTAACTTGTTAACCAAGAAGACTGAAGCAGCCATATGCTGGGGCATGACCATTCTGACTTAGTTCAAAGAGCTGAGATTTACATTTGTAGAACTTTAGTTTCTATGTTTAGTTGTATTACTTTTATAATGACAAATAAAATGATAATTAAGATGAAAATACATACACACATATTTTTTGGATTATTGTATATTATATGCAGCATGTGTGGAGACATGTGTACCATCCAACGGCACGTTCGGAACAGACTGATCTTATCTGAAATTCAGATCTACTTAATAGTTAGCATCTTAACAGGAAAAGAAAAAAAAAAATCCACTGGAAACTCCCCTGACATCCAAATTTCACATACAATGGTTTAAGAAAGCCTGATAGATTGCAAGTCAGGCAAATTTCCAGGAATTTTTTGGTTCTGATTAGGCTGGAAATAAGTTGACAATTCCAAAAATGTTAAAGCAGTTCAAAGTCTCCTACTATAAACCTAAGTTATCATGTACAATCATATCACAAACACAAAATTGATCTTTCCGCAACCTGAGTTTTCTTATCTCTGTGTCGCACATGAAGAATCAATGACTTCTTTAAAGGAAGAACCGCATTTCCTTGCCCAACTATGTAAACTGTAATCATGTGTTACATACTTCAGTGAGGGCATCTCAGAAAGTAAACTGCCTGTCAGATTGCCCTCCTTAGAAATCTCTCAGATTCCACTAAGAGTGGCTTAAATACTTTGATAGAGCACTGGGATTAATCTTGAAGTAAAAAAAAAAAAAAAAAAAAAAAAAAAGCCCATGAAAACAGGGAGTTATAAAGCACCTGCTATTGTATCCATCCTGATAACAAAATTTAGTGTCCCAAAATAGGAAGCTACCAGTGCAAGACAGAACATAAATAATGCCCCATAAAATTAGGAGCCCAGAGGGAAAATGCCATGTTTTGAATTGATTCCTTAGGACTACCTCTCAACCATTATAAGTAACTTTGTGAAATCCACCTTCTTAGGCTTGAAAATCTTATAAAAAGAGTGGGGTGCCTGGGTGGCTCAGTTAGTTGTCTGCCTTTGGCTCAGGTCATGACCTCAGGGTCCTGGGATAGAACCCCATGTCAGGCTCCCTGCTCAGTATGGAGTCTGCTTCTCCCTCTGCCCCTCTTCCTACTTGTGTTCTCTCTCTATGTCTCTAAAATAAATAAAGTCTTTTTTGTTTTTTTAAAGATTTTATTTATTTACTTGACAGACAGAGATTCACAAGTAGGCAGAGAGGCAGGCAGAGAGAGAAAGAGGAGGAAGCAGGCTTCCCGTGGAGCAGAAAGCCCGATGCGGGGCTCGATCCCAGGACCCTGGGATCATGACCCAAGCCGAAGGCAGAGGCTTTAACCCAGGCTTATGAAAAAAAAAAAAAAAAGAAGAAGAAGAAGCACAAATTCATACTATGGATGGAGAGACATGAATACTCAAGATTGCTAAAATTCTTCAACGAGGTATAAAATCAAGAAAGTTCTCTTACTTTGGTCCTAAATTCAGTGGATGCTCCAAACTCAAAGAGAAATCTCACGACGTCATTATGTCCTTGCTGGGCAGCAAAGAACAGGGCAGTTGTACCTGACTAGGAGGGAACAAACAGCTGGTTTTAAGGCATTTAATTACATTGCATTTGTTTGTACATTTGCAAACAAAACAAAACAATATCTTTGTAGGTAAGCCTTCTAACCTAGGAGGGAGCTACATTTGAACTGATTATACTCCTTGTTCAGAGAAGTGAGAATATGAAAGGGGAACTTTATTGTTGGTCTAATGGGATGAATGATGGACCCAAAAGATATGTCCTTGTCCTAATTTCTGGAACTTGTGAATATTACCTTCTGTGGCATATGATGGGATTAAGTTAAGGATTTTGAGAAAAGGCACTTATCCTGGCTTGTCCTGGGGGGCCCTAAGTCCAGTGACAACTGGATAGAGACCCATTTGATATAGAGGAGAGGAAGAGGTAATGTGACCAGAGAGGGGGATGCGGCCACAAGTCAAGCTACCAGAAGCTGGAAGAGGTAGAGAAAGGGTTCTCCCCTGGGGCTTTCAAAAGGAATGCAGCCCTGTGGACACACCTTGAATTTTCTGGCCTCCAGAATTGTAAAAGTGTAAATTTCTGTTCTTTGAAGTCACCTAGTAGGTGGTAATTTGTTAGAGAGGCCACAGGGAACTAACTACCATGCTTGGTGACATGGGCATTCATTCTTACAGGGAAGAGTTCTGGTAGAGCTCTGGCTACAGAGTTAAGTACCCCACAGTAGAAAGCTACCAGCCCAAGAAAGAATCTAAGTAATTCACCCAAACAGACTCAAAATATTCCTCAAAAGAGGACATAGGAACAAGAAATAGCCTGGTTCCAAATGTTAAACCAGATCAGGGATACTTGGAGACACAAGTTTGAGCATCCTCCCTTCCCAGCCATTTCCACAAGCCGATTCAAAGATTGGTAGCCAGATCATTGTGTGATAGGAGCAAATTCATCATACCACTCTGTGGGCAGTATCTATTTTCCATACAAAGATGCTCTTCACTCCAGTACTTTGAGCAGGGATGAAGCTCATACGTTACACCTTCCCAGGCACAGTGAGGAGAGACACCTTCCACAGCTCACCCGGAAGTCTTAAAGTGGTAGGTTCTCATCCAGGTGGGAGAAGCCAGGAGGAGCAGGCCCTAAGGATTACTGATGACCCTGAAGCTTGTTCTTAAGTGTGTGTGTGTGTATGTGTGTGTGTGTATACGTATATGCATGTGTGTGTGTGTATGAGACAGGGACCAATGAGCCCAACCACTGGGGCAGAACACAAGCCAATACCTTCCTAGTCATTACCTTCTATCTCAGGCTATGCCCCCAGCCAGACGCTGCCCTGGGGAGGCACAGGTAATGTGACCATTCCCAGAGCCTTTCTGCCTGCCACACAGGAGTGACTTTCCCCTTGGTTCCCACAGAAACAAGTGGAAGGCTTCCTTTCATTGCTTTCCTACAGTGGAGAACACCGAGTTCCAGAAACCTGAGGATGTAACCAGGTCTGGATGAAGAAACTCGGCTAGCATAGGAAAACCCTCATCTTAACAGACATTAAATTTCAGAAACTACCAGAGACAATTTCTAGAAATTGTTTCTTCTCTAAGAAAAAGGACTTTTCACCAAGATTTTATGATATATTAATTGAAAAACCATATCTATAGCAGTGTGAATCAATTTTGGAACATACAGGTACCATTCATTAATCATTGTGCACACGAATGTGGCCATCTATAGACAGAGGAGCCAGACTTCAGCTGGAATGTGAATAAAGGTCTTAAATGTATGTGCTTTACTACTGTAACCCAGGGCCTCATGACAACAGCACACTCAGTTCCTAACCCTGAAAATTTTAGCTGATATGCTGGTTCTTTAGAGCAATGGTCTCTCTGGATCATTATCTTCCTGTTCTTGCAAGCTCTGTGTATGTAGATAGCCATCCAAAGAAAACAATGACAGGTACCTTTTCAGGAAACAAGTATTTTGATATGGATTAAATGGAAAAAATGGATTAGAATAATCCCAGGTAGAAGCCTGCTACATGAGTACCTTCCACAGCACCGCTAGGTACTCACCTCATGTGTGAGCTTGGGGCCTCTCTTTGGCAGCTCTGTCACCGGAGGCTGGGGTGGCCTCGGGAAATGCAGGGGACCACTGGGCATTCATGTAGCAACATTATTTGAGCCACAAGGTTACTTCAAAATTGGGCACACTTCAGTAAGTCCTTGAGGGCCATTTTTGTTCAACGCACAATAGTTTTCATATCCAAGAATATTAGTGGAGCAATTGGAATGAAACAGATAAATATAAAACCATAAAAACCATACATTGGCTGAAAAGCAAACAAATGTTTCTCTTCTCTCAGCTTTTCACAGTTGTTCTGAAGATATACTTGTGCGTGTTGAACTTGCCCTTCAGGATAAAGTTTTTTGAGGAGCAGATCTGAATCATATTGTTTTTATTAGAGAAAAGTTTGTCTATTCTTTAAAGCTATAATAAACCAAGACTGTGAAGCATAAAGGAAAAACAAAAAGATTAGGGTAATTTCAAACTATAATTCTAAATGGGCCCAAACATTTTCCTCCCAGAAGGAAATTAGCTGCTGACGTGAAAAATGGCTTAAAACAATGCTCCAGTGTTGTGAAAATTGCTCCAAAGAATCTGTCTGTGAGACTGGATTTGCTATGGTCTGTCTGTATGGCTCCTCTTGATAGATCAGGCTTGCTGGCCCAGGCCTATGGAGAGCCAGACTCCAGAGTCTATTCATCAAGTGTCATTCTTCCATGGTCCAGAGCCAAGTTGACACCCAGAAGGGAGAAGGGAAGGACTATAGGTGCCCCACGGAATAGCCAGCCCTCACAGCTCCACTCAGAGGTAGCAGTCCAGGCTGGAAGACGGGGTGTACTGATTGATGAAAGTTTGGTTGATGACTCATCTATTCTGAAACAACTGTAGGGTAGGCCCTAGGATAAGACTGGATCAAGGAACATCAAATGCTCCAGTTCAGTCTGAAGCTTGCCCCAGGATGCCATCTTGGGTCTGAGTTAGTGTGGACTGAGAGGTTGGATTCACTTTAGGGTTGACCTATGGATCTATCTCCAGAAAGGTTAATTTGCAAGGCCCTAGATCAGCTTGGGAATAAATTGATCCCCCTCAGATCTGACTCCTGAAGTATGGTAAAAGGTCCAACCTCCCACTGCTCTTCTACATTGGACCAAGAATGGATCCTCTAGCCAGACTGAACTCCCAAGGTGGCCTTTGAATGAAGTGTGGGAACAGGCTCACATTTGAGTTCAATGTCCACCACATGGCTTTTTGGGGAGAGCTTATTTAACATGTGGCCAGTCAGAGAAGCCCTTTGAAATCATAGTTTCATGAGGATGACTGAGATAGTCTAGCAAGTGAACCTCATTCAGAACAGGTTGGTGACCCAATCTTTTTAAAAATACAAAAAAATCTCCATGAAAATCCTTTAACTTCTACAGCACCTCTTCCCCAGGGAAGAAGGAAGATCTGATTTAAGCTTGGGAGGAAATGTATGAGTGCTTAGGGAATGTGGTTAGAGGTTTGGTCACCTCAGACTATAACACACGCCTGAGAATATTCATTCCACTGATGTACACCCAATGGCCCATCCTAGGGCCTTATTTTAGGCACAGCAAAGTCCGCAATCTGGGCATTAATGCCATGCAGGAAAAAAGCAATGATTAATCTGGTCTTCCTTACCAATTTGCCACTATAAAAATTGCGAGTCTCTGTCACCTGGGTCATTCTTATTCAAGTGTAAACCTGACCTACCTCTCTCTGGAGATTGATGTCTGCTCCTTGCAGAACCAGTTCCCTCACACAGTCTATGTGACCGGCATAGGAGGCGACCATGAGGAGCGTGGTGCCATGCTAGATGGAGGACAGACAGATAGCAGTTACGTATGTCAGAGAGGGTCCTGGAGGAGAGGCTAAAGAGATGTCAGGTCCACTCGAGACACGTCCAAGTGCACAATTTCCCACAGTACTGAGTGTCTCATGAAAAACCTTATAACACAAAGTAGACAGAGAAAAAGCAAAGTGACAAACTGCTGCAGGTGGAATTTTCAATTTAAAAACCCACTTAATAGGGCGCCTGGGTGGCTCAGTTGGTTAAGTGACTGCCTTTGGCTCAGGTCATGATCCCGGAGTTCTGGGATCAAGTCCTGCGTCGGGCTCCCAGCTCTGCGGGGAATCTGCTTCTCCCTCTGATCTCTCCCCTCTCATGTTCTCTCACACTCTCTCTCTCTAATAAATAAATAAAATCTTAAAAAAAAAGAACCCCACTTAATCCCATTACCTTCAGAAATGCAGTCCGAAGGAACCATAATCACTGCATGTGAAGGCAGTAGGGATGTAATTGTCTTATTTTATGATTCATATTAAATGATTTCTGGGCCCAAACACTGTTCTTAATGGGTTAGGTGGTACCTGTTGGTTTTCTGAGTTTAGAAGACTTTTTCTTAGAACTGCTTCAGGTAAAAATGCAAGGTACCTCAATGATATGGGAGACCAGAGTAGTCAGTAGGAGCCTGAGGGGTTCACATCGGCCTCTATCATCAATCAACTGTGTCACCTGGGGGCACATTGCTTTTAATTCCTGGGGTTTAGAGTTTAATTTCCAGTTGTTTTTAAGGGCTTGGAACTGTGAGCTTGACCACTACCTCTGTGTACGCAGCAACCTGCCTTTCTGGGGTGGACAAGAGAAAGATGGTTCTTCATAGGAGGAAGGTACAGGGTGACGAGTGACTTACAAGCCTCATTTTAATTTCATGGGTGGGATTTTGTAGGAAGGCAGTAGAGTTGACTGGTCCCTGACACTATGATCTTGGGCTAGTTATGGAACCTTTCCAAGGTTCACCCTCCTTATCTGCAAAATAGGGAATAATAAAAGCATCTGCTGGATTAAATCAAATGGGTAAATGAGATAATGCAGGCAATGTGTTTAGCATAGTAATGTTAGCTATTAATTCAGTAAGTGTTAGCTATTATAATATTATGATACTTCAGTAAATGTTAGGTCATCATCTGGCTTTTGTTGATTTCTGTGAATCTCAATACTAATTTTGGGAAAGTCTTATGTGCTATGTATGAAAAGTAAAGGTAGAGTAAAAAAATAAAAACTAATGGCTTCATGGAAGTGTTCTATATTTTCTCTGCTTCCAAGAGACCGTATTTAGTATTTGAATGTTAGACATTCGTTAGGCTATACCATCCATTATCAAGTTGAACACCTTCCTCTGTATTTCCCAGGATTAGAATGACATGTGGAAGTTGGTATTACTAACTTCCTCCTGAACATGAACAATTTTTATTTAGATTACAGATAGAAGAATCTGATTTAAAACCAATCTGGAAGATTGCTGGTATGATAGTGAAGTAGGAGGACCCTAAGGTCACATAGATAGATGTGTCTGACAGATGCAGTGGAGTATCGATAGATATACAATGGGAGTTACAATAGATGACACTCTCATCGTTGTAGATAACCTGGAAAACAACCTGAAGACTAGAACCAACTCCATAACTAAAGGTAGAGAAGAGGTCACACTGAAGAGGGTAGCAAGGGCAGAGATGCACGGGGAGGTAAATAGACCACTGCTGTATGCAGGGTGAGGGGGGTTGGGTGGGGAGGGAGCTGTGAAGAAGGGAGGGAGACAGATTATTACACTGGGGAGCCTGCGCCAGAGATGATGAATCCCCATAATATTTGGTTCTGAAAGACAGAGGAGCCAAATTTCATGAGTTCTTATAACCAGCAGGACTGAAAGCCTGGAATTTCATTTTTATCTAGTTTTTAAAGGCTTTTATTTTTAAATTTTATTATTTTTTGAGAGAGAGAGAGAGAGTGCACGTGCACACACGCTGTGTGTGGGGGGGGCAGGGGAGCAGAGGGAGAGGGAGAGAGAGACACCTGGGTGGCTCAGTCAGTAAAGCCTCTCTCTACCTTAGCTCAGGTCATGATCTCAGAGTCCTGGGATCGAGTCCTGTATCGGGTTCCCTGCTCAGCAGGAAGTCTGCTTCTCCCTCTTATGACCCTGAGATCATGACCCAAGCAGAAATCAAGAGTCCAACGGCTAACTGACAGAGGCACCCAGAGGCAACCTAAGATTTTTATTTTTAAGTAATCTCTATTCCCAACGCAGGGCTCAAACTCATAATACAGAGATCAAGAGGTGCATGCTCTACTGACTGACCCAGCCAGGAGTCCTTGGAATTTTAAAAATCGGTGGCTCAGCTGTGGAAGAGGATGGAGGGCAAGAGGAAACTGGGTCCTCACCCTTAAAGAAACAGTACCACAAACAGCCGACAGAGATACAGCACAGAAGCAATGGTTTAAAAAATACCTGGGGTACATGGGAAGGAGATTTGTTTACTAGTCTCAGAAATGGCTGGAGGAGCAGGGATCCTTGGAAGACTTCTCTAGGAGCAAAGGAGCTGGTAGGCACCATTTCCTTCTCCTGCTCCCAAGCAAATTCCCACGACCATCTGCAGGGACCAGTGAAGCATGGATATTCACTACCTAACTGGCTGACATGCACTACCCCCTGTGTGGGTTGTGGATCTGCCCCCTCTGGTGTGCTTTTGCCTGGAACCCACTCAAACCAGACCCACAAACCGGGCAGTGTGCAAGCAGCCCCAGCAAGGGTCAGTGGCACTCCAAAGTGACTCCTGCCCTGGGGAGAGGGAAAGATAACCACACAAGCAATCATACTGGGGCCCCAGCAGTGGGCTGGGTGCAGACAGCTGGTCTGACTGCAGGCCCCACCTGCCAGTGAAAGCATCTCAGGGGACAACGCAGGGAAAGCAGCTTGCAGTTTGGTGCTACTGCATGTCTGGCAAACTGGTCTGACTCAACTCAAGCCTGGCTTGGCCCCAGACTGGCCCACAAACATCACCAGGACCAAACACTGCCCAAAACAGCAAGGAGAGCCACTGGGCTCTCCTGGGCTGAAGGAAAAAGTGGCTCAGCCATAACAGCAGGGGACACACAACACACAACACACATGGGAGACCCCCCTGCAGTGCAAGGTTCTGGGAACAGGGGACATTGCACTGCAAGATGCTACAGGAGCTCTTTTTCACAAGGTCACTAGTTTCAAGAGTGGGAGACATAGCTGACTTTCCAAACACAGAAACAGACACAGAGAGTTAGACAAAATGAGGAGACAGAAGAATATGTCTCAAATGGAAGAACAGGACAAAACCACAGCAACAAATCTAAGTGAAATGGAGATAAGTAACATGGCTGATAGGGAATTTAAAGTAATGGTCCAAAAGATACTCACTGGACTTGAGAATCTCAGGATCCTGAGATCAAGCCCTGTGTCAGGCTCTGCACTAGGCATGGAACCTACTTAAAATTCTCTCTTTCCTTCTCCCTTTGCCCCTTCCACTCATGCTTTCTCTCTTTCTCTCTCTCAAATAAATGAATAAATCTTAAAAAAAAAAATTCAAATAACGAGACCCATCTATCTGCTGCCTAGAAGGCTCATTTCAGACCAAAAGGCACCTGCGGATTGAAAGTGAGGGGATGGAGAAACATTTATCATGCACATGGATGTCAAAAGAAAGCCTGGGGAACAATACTTATATCAGACAAAGTAGACTTTGAAAAAAAGACTATAACAAGAGACAAAGAAGGATACCATATAATAATGAGACAATCCAACAAGAAGATATAATAATTGTAAATACGTATACACCTGGGCAGTGTGCAAGTAGCACATGGGAGCACCCAAATATATAAAAAGGTTAATAACAAACATAAAGGAACTAACAGAGTAATACAATAAGAGTAGGGGACTTTAACACCCCACTTACATCATGGGCAGATTATCAAAACAGAAAATCAACAAGGAAATAGTAGCTTTGAATGACACATTGGACTGGTTGGGTTTAACAGATATATCCTGAATATTCCATTCTAAAACAGCGGAATAGGGCGCCTGGGTGGCTCAGTGGGTTAAAGCCTCTGCCTTCGGCTCAGGTCATGATCTCAGAGTCCTGGGATTGAGCCTCACATCGGGCTCTCTCAGCAGGGAGCCTGCTTCCTCCTCTCTCTGCCTGCCTCTCTGCCTACTTGTAATCTCTGTCAAATAAATAAAATCTTAAAAAAAAAAAACTTTTAAAACAGCAGAATACACATTCTTTTCAAGTGTACACGTAACATTCTCAAGAATAGATCACATATTACACCACAAAACAAATACTGACAAATTCAAAAGATTGTAGTCATATTATGCATCTTTCCTGACCAAAATGCTATGAAACTAGAGATCAACCACAAGAAAAAAAAATCTGGAAAGAGCACAAATACATGAAGTTAATAACATTCTACTAAATAATGGATGGGTCAATGAAGAAATTAAGAAAGAAAAAAAAACAAAGAAAAAAAATGAAAATGAAAACACAAAGGTCCAAAATTTTTGGAATATAGCAAAAGTGTTTCTAAGAAGGAAGTATATGGCAATACAGACCTATCTCAGAAAGCAAGAAAAATCTCAAATAAACAACCTAACCTAACATCTAAAGGAGCTAGAAACAAACAAAACCCAAAACCAAAAGGAAGAAAATAATAAGGATTAGAGCAGAAATAGATGATAAAGTAAATTAAAAAACAATGATCAATGAAATCAGGAGCCAGTTCTTTGAAAAGATCAACAAAATCAAAAAATTTTCAGCCAGACACATCAAAAAGAAAAGAGAGAGGATTAAAATAAAATCAGAAGTGAAAGAGGAGAAATAACAACGAACACCACTGAAATACAAAGCATTAAATTCCTAGAAACATATATCCTACCAAAACTGAATCAGGAAGAAATAGAAAATCTGAATAGACCAGTTACCAGCAATGAAATTAAATCAGTAAT